CTCCCCGGGGGGCTCAGCGACAGCGACAGGCCCTTCTGCATGTCTCAGGGACCTGTGCTTACCCTCGACGTCTCCGCCCTGGAGCTCGGTCTGGTCCGCCTGGGCCAGAAAGTCTCACACTCCATCCAGATTCAGAATGTCAGCCAGCTGCCCGCCACATGGCGCATGACGGAGAGTGCCGGCTGCCTGGAAGAAAGGCAGGAGCTGGTAAGTCAGCCGGCCGGCGCCTGGGAGCCAGTCCCCTTGTGTCCTCTGGCCACCAGAACTTGTGCTGGCAAATTCAGAACTTTGAGGCAAGGAGAGTTCTGCCTGGCAGTGTCTCCAGCCCCACCCTCACAGAGGCAGTTGGAGGTCCTTCCTCCCTGATCCCGCACCTTTTTGCTATTGTTGTGGTCCTTGGTGCCACCATTAGAACATGGGTCTGCCCCTCTGTTGTAGTAGGCCGAGTTAAAAGGAGAATGGGCAGCTACTGCGTCACTAGGCAGGAAGTTTCCAAGGCTGCCGCCGCCAAGGACAAGTTCCCTGCCTCAGGAGAAGGGAGCAGGTTCTCCCAGGTTCACCTCAAAGTACCCACTCTCTCAGGGCTTCTTGCGGTGGTATCCGGACAAGGGCTTGCAGGCAAACTGAAAGTTAGGTTTCTTCTCCCCTCAAATAGAAGTAGCCCCCTCCCCTTGTTTGCCTCCTCCTCCTCCTCCATCCTCCACAACTATTCCTGTTTCTTCTTTCGCTATAAACATACTCTCAGCAGCTCGCTGCCATGGTCCGTTCTGACTCATAGTGACCGTGGAGGGCAGGGCCAAACTGCCTCTGTGGGTTTCCCAGACTGCTCCTCTTGATCAGAGCAGACAGCCTCGTCTGTCTCCCGAGCTGCTGCTGGTGGGTTTGAACTGCTGACCTTGCCGTTAGCAGCCCAACATTCTTCACACCACTCAGACCAGAGCTCCTACTACATACATGAGAAATAAGTGTTATCTTCATTCGACATGGCTCCACATTTAAGTCAATGTGTCTCCAGCAACAGTGAGATGTTGTCGCTGCGCATGTGAGACCCTTAGGCGAGACCCTCCTTCTCCCTGCTTCCAGTCGCGGCCTCTGTACTACTTGCTCACCCACCTACTTTTCCTGCCAAGCCAGAGAAAGGTCTTCAGAGCCCACAGGCGCGGTGTTTGTAACTTTATTTTCTCCAGCGCCTCCCCCCCTCCCCGCCCTGAAGTCAGTGTTCCTTACGGACTTCCTCACCTCTCTGGCTGGGCACGCTGGCACTTAGATGCTAGGGCCGGGCTGTTCCCATCAAATCCCTAACACCTCTCCTGAGAGCCATGACCAAGTCTCTTAGGTAGCAGTTAGTGATTCCTGGCCCCAACCCAAGGTTTACTGGTTTCCTAGAGTGGATCCTAGCAGCACCAAAGCCTGGGGCAGGGGCTGGGGCAGGGGCAGGGGCTCGGGCTGGGACTGGGACTGGGACTGGGGCAGGGGTTGGGTCTTGGGCCAGAGATAGGGCCAGGGCATTATCAGTATCTTGAATGTTCACGTGCAGAAGCCCCTTATATAGAAGGAAGTCTGACTGCTCAGGCGACCATGAAACTCTCTTGCTAGGTGCCTCCTGCCCCTTCTGGCCTCTCCCTGCTGTCCATCCCCTGCCCCAGGCATTCCTGGGGAAGCCCTGGGACTTCTCAGAGGATAGGTGGGAGCTGGGGACCTCCACCGATATCTTCATGTGGCAGAGGAAAGACCCAGAGGAACACAGGTTGCCCCAGACTCCCCCAGCTAACGGGTGGCGGCGTGAGAACGGAGCCTGGCTTTCTGATTCCCAGCCTGTATTTTACCTGCACTGTGAAGGTTATTGACATTTTATCATCAAAATACCTGTTGACCTTACAGAATGTCAATGTCATAACCGAGGCTGGGAGGAATCCTCTCATTAGTCTCAGCTCTCAGAGAGTACTTACTGCTGGGGTGGAGGCTTGTTAGATGCTCTAAGGAGGCACTGAGCTGCCGTGCCCCAGTCCTGGATCACAGCTGCACCCCAGCGATCCAGGGCCAACGAATGCTCTTGTGAGTGGCCTATGAAAGCGAGCAGTCCCCCTCAGTGAAGCCCCACCCACCCCTCCTCCAAACTCAGGGAGGTAAAAACCATCAAAGCCCTGGAGCCAGGGCTCAGACTGGCAGAGTGGGAACCAGAGGGTGGACCCGGCCCACATGCCAAGCCCGTGGTCAAGGGCACAAGGTAGACAGGTCTCTCTGTCAGGGGCCACCCTTGTACTCACTGAGTGTATCCGGGAAGGGAGGGAACAGAGAGGCACTGTCCCTCCTGGGTGTGGCCTGTTTGCCTCCTGCAATGCCCTTCTGGGACCCTTCCCTCAGGGCTGTCACAGAGGCAGGGCAGCAGGCCCTCCCAGGTGGGGACCCTTGTCCCTTCCCCTGTCCCTCTGTCTGTGCAACTGAGGAGTAATTCAGACCAGAGCCTATGGCGGATGGGGGCTAGGGAGGCAGAGTGAGGAGGAGACCAGTGGGTGCAAATGATCCTCATGAGAGACCTCTCAAGAGGCACTGACCTCCTTCCCAGCTTGGCACACAGGCTCACCCTCCTGATCCCCAGCTGAGCCTCCCCCTTAGAGACTCCGCCCCTGGCCCCTCCCCTCTTAGTGCCTGTCCACTGCTGTAACTCGGGGAGACTGTGTTTGCCCCTCACTCCTGAGAGTCAGTCCACTGGATGCTCCACCACTTCATCTTCTCATTGCCTTCTGACTCTTTGAAGAGGTGGGACTGCCTGGAGCTGCGGCTGCCTGGCAACCACCAGCAGCCCCTAGGTCCTCCAAGCGCTCCTCCCCACCCCCATTCTCCCTCGCAGGAGTCCCACTTTGTCATCGAGCCCTCGAGTGGCCAGCTGCACCCCCTGGGGGAGTGTAAAGTGCACATCACCTTTGAGGCCTTGCTCTGCCAGAGCCTGCGGACGGTCCTAGAGTTGCAGGTGGAAGACGGGACCTGGAGGTAAGAGGGCCTTAGAGAAATAAGTCCAGGGACACTCACTTACGTGTAAGAGAGAGCTTTATATCAAGAAGTAATTACACATCAAACAAACATCCCAGCCTGGTCCAGATCAAGTCCATACATCTAAAGATGAGAACCTTTTCCATACCCTCCCAATAGGTTCCAGCTACTTGGTTCACATGGGTCTTTGTAGCCTGCCTCTCTGAGTGGGCCCCACCTGGACAAGGGGCTCTTGTGTTCCAGCTACCTCCCAGTGTGTGCTGAGGTCCAGGCACCCCACGTGTACCTGCAGAGCAGCCAGGTGCAGCTCAGCACCCTCTACCGGGATGTGCCCACAAAGGCAGTTGTCACCCTCGTCAATGGGACACTCCTGCCCACCCGGTTCCAGTGGGGGAACGTGAGTGTGCCTGCAGCCCCCCAGCAACAAGGCCCATTTAGTGAGGGATGCCCCCCCTCAGGTGTCCTTCAGAACAAATCCTCAGCCTGTCCCTTGTCTCATAGCACCCCCCAAAGCTTGGCCCCTCTGTTGGACAACCAATGTGCTTGGCAGTTCCTGCCCCTGTCCGTTCCAGCCAGAGCAGTCCGCGACTGTTCAGTTGCTGGGAGCCCAGCATTGACCCTGCCCTCCAGGCTGCCGTGCACAAGCTCTGAGTGCCTCCGAGGCTGCTCCCAGCTCCCCATCAACTGGGCCTCCCAGGGCTGCTTGCTTGTCCAGGAACCGCCCCCCGCAGGGGGGTGGGGGGTGGGTGAGGTCCACTGGGGTAGAAGGAAGCTATGGTTGCCACCTCCCAGAGAAGCATTCTCTGGGCTCATCCTGGGAGTCCAGCACGTGACCATGTACCCACCCATGTGTCTGCCAGCTCCTGGGCCACCAAGCAGCCCTCTGTACTGTGACAATCTCACCCAAGCGTGGCACGCTGGGCCCCGGTGAGGAGCGCTGGCTCACCTTGGAGCTGACTGCTCACACCCAGGTGAGCACGGCACTGAGGATCAAGGGCCTGGTGGGGTGTCCTGTCTGGTCTCTGCACCGTGCATGTAGGGAGGGCCCCCCTCCGGCCCCACACCTGATCCTCGTGGATGGGGAGGGGGTTTGCTGCATTTGGGACGCAACCTGTCAGGCCTGCGCTGGAGACACCAGGGCAGGAAGCCTGGATGTGCCTCCAAACCCCTGGTCCAGGCCCCGCCCTCGGCAGCAACGTCAGCCCTCATCAGGCCTTTTTCTGTGGCACCTCCCCAGCGAGCCAGAGAACAAGGGCCTCTTGGAGCAGGCCCTGTGCTGAATGCTGCTGGGAGAGGCCAGCTCCTCCCCTGGAGGAACAGAGCATTCCCCCACAGTGACCCAGGAGAAGGCTGCCAGGGCAGGACACAGTCAGTCTGTGGGCATTTGCCGGCTCCCTTTTTATCACGGTGACGGAAGATTCGACCTCCTCCTCACAGAGAGAGACTTGTAGAGCCAGGCCCCATTCTTCATGGGCAGACCTGGTGGTGGTGGGCTTTCCTGCACAGCTGAGCCCGACTGAGCTCTGGGGTGAAGGACAGAAGGGCTGAAACACGAAGCATGGGGTAGACTGCCCAGGGAGGCCGTGCTTTCTGGCTGTTGACCTATGGGAGGCAATTCCCATTGAGAAAGACAAAAGCACTGCCAGGCTGAGTTGTAGCAGCCTCATTAGACTGGCTGGAAGCAACTGGTCCACAGGACTGATGGCCCACTACCTGAGACCAGAAGAGCTAGATGGTGCCCAGCTTCCCATTACTGGACCCACTCTAGGCAGGATCACAGTACAAGAGACCAGACAGAATCAGAAGGAACACAAAAAGGAGAACAAAATTCAAGATCATCCAAGAGTCTAGTCCTATAGAGAAGAGTGGAGCCCCCTGAGAAGCCCCTCAAGCCCAGAACTGAAGCTGTCAGCAGGCGTCAACGTTCAGCCAGACAACAGGTAGACCCGTGAGACGAACACTAACACCGCAGAGATGCGCACTCCCCAGAAGATGCAGCCAGGAGCTTGGAGGGCAGGAAGGGGCAGGAATGAGGAACAACTGGAAATGGGGAACACAAGGAAGAAGTGGGATGGGCACAAACCAAGTTTGTATAAATTGTCTACTGGGGGACTGATTGGCTCTGTAAACATTCACCCAAACACGCAAACAGAAAGGTTTAAAAAGAATAAATCCACGGATTCTTCAGAAGTCCACTTTGGGGAGTGGGGGTGGGGGGATCTTAACCTGCTGCCTGGAGATGTCAGGAGCCCCAGTTCATCCACGAGCCCTGAGCAAGGGTCAAGGCCTCCCAGGGCAGGAGGGGCCGTGGGCTGAGCTCCCAGGCTGGGCCTGTGGACAGGGTTCACTGCAGAGATGGATGGGCCTGATGAGAGATGAAAGCCATCCCCCAGCCCCCAGCCCTGCTGTGCCAGACCACTGCTGCCCTCTGCTGAGGCCCCGGCCCTGGTCCTTCCCTGTGGGGGTCTTCCCACATCACCACGTGACCAAGGGACTGGCTTTTCTTGTAGGAAGAGCTGACAGAGCTGGCCCTCCCTTGCTATGTGTCAGGCATGGCAGAGCCACTGGCCCTAGGCATTGTGGGAAAGGTCCAGGGACTTCAAGTGACCATCACTGTCTCTATGGAGGGCTCCGAGAGCAGGTGAGCCCAGGTTGAGGGCTTGGGCCAGAGGATTACGGGGACCCCACAGGAAACCAGTGCCATCATGTGCTGGGATAAAGGCCCCCTACCCCAACCCCTCCCTCTGTGTGGCCTTTCACCACACACTCAGGGACAAGATGTCCAGACAGGCCAGAGATTACAGGGGACCTTGGACCTTCCCATACAGAGCTAGCAGCCAGGAGGCGGGCTGGGCTGCCCCTGGCCGTGGAGAGCTTCCACAGAGCCAGAAGCGTCTCCAGGGATATGGGTAGTCAGGAGAGGTGTGGCAGTTCAAGGAGGAGGGGGTCTGAGCATGAGGCCTGGCTCCTGGGCAGCTCCCCCACCCCACCCACCCCCGCCCAAGGTGACAGGACCGGGCAAGGGTGACATGTAACACAGTCCCCGTGGGGCCCGGGGCAGCGTCTTCCTCACGGAGCAGGGCCTGGGCCATTTGGAGGAGCTCCGCCTGGACTTTGGCTCAGCAGTGCCGCTGAGAACCCGCGTGGACCGCCAGCTCATCCTGACCAATCATTCGCCGATCCCGACCCCTTTCGCCCTTGATTTTGAGTACTTCGGGCACCCCCAAAACAGCGTGAGCAGAAAGGCCAGCATGTAAGGGCTCCTGCCTCCTTCCTGAGGGAGGCATCCCAGGCTCGGGGTGAGGCTGGCGGGAAGGGCAGGAGGGTGGGATTTGGCATGTGGATGTGGGGACACATTGAGAAGCCATGGCTCCTGCGGCCCACCTCCCAGGCAATGAGCGGACCTGTGGGAGAGGCAGCTGGCCGGCCCTTTCTCCGCAGCCCAACCGGCTGAGGTGCCGGGCTTCCTGCATCCCTGGGGGTTTGAGGGCCCGTGGATGTGGCGGGATTTCCCTGGGTGGAGGGATTTGTGTGGCAATGGGGGAGCCCCTGTGTGAACAGTGTACCTGGGCTGGCGTGTGATGGCAAGGCAGCAGAGCACAATAGCTCTCGGCAAAACTGCTTGCTGTGGTCAAGGGCAGAGGCGAGGCCTGGAGCACCATTTACCCAGACAGGCAGACAGATGCACGCACGCACGCTCGCTGGAGTCAGCTAGGAGAGCCAATTACCAGATACAGAGTGTTTACACCACAGAAAGGGGCAAACGCTGCAGTTAAGGTGGAGCAGAGGGCCGGCACAAAGGAGGAAGGCCCACCGCGAGATGCATGGCACCCAGCTATCACACTGGCCTCCAGCTCAGGAACAACTGTGAGGCAGGGGCAGGACAGGGCAGCGCTTCCTTCTCTTATGCCCAGAGTCACTGTGAATTGGTACTGACTGATGGCAACTAACAACATCAACAAGTGAAGGCTCTTTTCCTAGAGAGCAGATTGACCAGCACA